TATGTATGTATGTATGTATGTATGTATGTATGTATGTATGTATGTATATCTGTATGTATGTATGTATGTATGTATGTATGTATGTATGTATGTATGTATGTATATATGTATATATGTATGTATGTATGGATGTATGTATGTATGGATGGATGGATGGGTGGATGAATGTGTGGCTATATGGATATATGGGTGGATGGATGGGTGGATCGATCGATGGATGACAATAGATGGTAGATGTATGGGTGGATGGATGGGTGGGTGGGTGGGTGGGTGGATGTATGGATGGGTGGATGGAGTGATGGATGACAATAGATAGTGGATGTATGGGTGGATGTATGGATCAATGGGTGGATGGATTGATGACAATAAATGGTGGCTGTATGGGTGGATGGATGGACAGATGAATGGATGGGTGGGTGGATGGATGAATGGATGGGTGGATGGATGGATGAATAGATGCATGGATGGGTGGATGTATAGATGTATGGGTGGATGGATGGATGGAAGGATCGCTCGATCGATCAATAGGTGGATGGATGGGTGGATTGCTCAATTGCTTGATGGGTGGATGTATGATTGGATGTATGGATGGATGGTTGGATGGATGGGTGAATAGATGGGTGGATGATGGGTGGATGTATGGGTGGATGGATGGAAGGATGGATAGGTGGATGGATGCTTTCTTGTTTCTTATTTTTATTTCCTCTAATATCTGGTCTGATCTTCTGTTCTGTGATGAAGGTGAGGAAAGGTTTTCTCAGCAGCTTCTCCAGGTGTTCCATGGTCTCCATCTGCTGACGACGTTTTGTTACTACAGTCCCTGAAAATCATGAACTTTCATGTCGGTGTAGTTGTTGTTGTCACCATGGTTACAACTAATGTGCTCAGTGGATTTAAATCTTTGTAAGTCTTTGAACACAGATCAGTTCACAGACTGTGAGTCACCCGTTTATGGAAATTCTTACAGACAAGCGGAGGAAGTTTAATTTGGTGAAACACAACAAGCAATAAGATAAGATAGAACTTTATTGATCCCGCAGGAAAATAAACTGACAACTCAATGATTTACAATAAAATTCTTTATGAAAACCTTTAACCAAGTGAAAGGAATTAAAAATGATTTCTTCTGAACACCACCATGAATCAGATTCAATTAGTTGCACCTGTTTCCAGTCAGTCAGTAGAACCAACAGCTGTGATTGGCTGACGGAACAATAAGACCTGTCAGAGCTGCACCTTTGTTCCTGCATCAACGAGGACAAGAGGCAGCTGCTGGTTGTGTTGGTGCAGAACGAAGTCGTCACAACTCAGACATGAGGCTTCTTTTGTGGTACCTGACATGTTGATTTCTGCTTTAAAATCGGTACAAACCAAGGTTGAAATGTGCAAAAAAAATGTATTTCTGAACATCTGTCTCTTCCAGTGTGGTGCTGCCATTGCTGCTCTTCAGAGAGCTTGATGCAAGTATAAAAAGTAAGATTAAAAATTTAAAGTAATGAACTCAAACATTTTCTGTTTAATACAATTTGAGTTTTGTTCACAGCTTCCCCTCATGGCTTTGAAGCTGACTTTAAAAAACCTGATGCCATTAACCCAGAGTCCAGGTCACGTCTCGAGTCCAAGGTTCCCCACCACAACCCAGAGCCCAGGTCTCGTCTCGAGTCCAAGGTTCCCCACCACAACCCAGAGCCCAGGTCTCGTCTCGAGTCCAAGGTTCCCCACCACAACCCAGAGTCCAGGTCACGTCTCGAGTCCAAGGTTCCCCGCTACAACCCAGAGCTCGGGTCGCGCCCCGAGTCCAAGGTTCCCCGCTACAACCCAGAGCTCGGGTCACGCCCCGAGTCCAAGGTTCCCCGCTACAACCCAGAGCTCGGGTCACGCCCCGAGTCCAAGGTTCCCCGCTACAACCCAGAGCTCGGGTCACGCCCCGAGTTCCATGTTCCCCACTACAACCCAGAGCCCAGGTCGCGTCCCGAGTTCCATGTTCCCCACTACAACCCAGAGTCCAGTGTCTGGCCCCAGGTGCCTCAGCATCAAGTGCTCCGGTATAACCCTGAACCAAGGCTTCAGCCCCAGGATAAAGTGCCCCGCTACAACCCCCAACTTGGTGTCCATTCCCAGGCACCTATGACTCATGCACCACAATACAAAGCTGATCCCAGATCCCAACCCAAGGGTCAGGTGACTCATTACAAACCCCAGCACTGGTCTCATTCTGAGGTTCAGTTGCCTCGCTACAATTCTGACCCCAGGGCCCAGTCCCAAGTGCCCCGCAATCTCAATCCCAGGGCTCGGGTGACTCGGCCTCAGGTGTCCCACTACCATCTGGAGACCCAACCCCAGAAAGGCTCTCATCACCGGCATGAATCTTGGTTTCAGCCTGCTGTGCCTCGTCATCAACCACCTTCTTGGGCTCCTCCACAAAACAAGTTCTCTCATCACCAACACGAGTCTTTGTTTCAGCCCCATGCACCAGCCTTTCCGACTGAACCCAGGCTTCACCAGAGGACTCGTTCTGAACCAGTTTGGTAACAAAGGCTCATCACCCTCCCAGCCTACAGGACTAGGAAGGCATTGCTAAAACCATGGGACTTCCAAATCTGAATTCTAAGGATCTGCAATGCCTGTTTAAACTGATCTAACTAATGACTTGTAATGTCAGACCTGACGCTAACCTGCTTTTGACCATTGAGAAAATAAAATTCCATGTCTTACTCCTTCAGCTTCTGTTTGGATGGTTTGTCCTTTGAATCAGTTTTCTGATGGGACTGCTTTAAGAAACTTTGTGTATGAAACCTCTTCAAATTGGACAGTGGCATAAAAGTCTTAGACGAGCATTTTTATTTTCTAGTTAAGCTATTGTTTGAAGCACGCTCGGGAGAGGTGATTGTCCATTTCAGGTTTTAAAACGTGTAAGGTAAATTACCAGCCCTTGGCCATTATTGCCTCCCCATGTGGTAACGGCAATGGTGCCAAATGTACTCAAAACGCAGATCTTCAGTTTGACCACACCTCCCAGAAGCCACCTTTAACAAATGGGAGGCTCTATTCTAATTGATCTAACCCAGCTCTCAACCAATGAAACATTGCCATGTTGTGTTCAAAAACTGTGGGTGCATGGATGATAGGATATCCACACTTTAAATTAAGCTAATCATTTTAAATAAAAGTGGACTTCAGACTTCAAAAGGAACATGCATTTCAGAATATTGAATGTTGGCTAATTTAAATGGGACTGCAACTACGATTTAATGGCATTCAGTACAAAGCTCTGGCTTTATTTTACCAGATTAGCTGCATACTGTTACAAATACTAAAGTGAAATTTTTGTATGTCGGTGTTCAAAAATCAGAACTTTAAAATTGTTTAGCTTTAAAAAAATTGGCAAATAAGCTTTAAAATGTTTGGTTCATATAGTGATGGGCACAGGAAGTGCTACAGCTTCTCTGACAATTGTGTTGAGCGTCAATAGAGATAGGGACAAATGGAGCCATAAGAACCTCAACTGGAGCCCTTTGTTTCAATCCACGTCGGCAAAGAGTTTAGTCAAGTCAAGTCAAGTCAAGTCAAGTCATCTTTATTTGTAGAGCACAATTTAAAACAGATAAACTGTTATCAAAGTGCTTAACAGAAATGTAGCAAAACATAGGCAGCAAAACAAAAACATCATACAGAATTAAAATTACTGGAGCAATAACACACACTAATGATCACACTAAGGAAAAACAAGCAGTAAAAATAAACGTCAATCATAAAACAACAGAATTTAAAATGAGGTACACAGAACAAAATAAACTAACTCACACACTATTAAACGCCAGAGCAAACAGGTGCGTTTTAAGGAGGGATTTGAACATCAGGAGGGAGGAGGCCTGCCTGATGTTGAGGGGCAGGTTGTTCCACAGGTTGGGACCTCTGACTGAAAAAGCTCGATCCCCTCGGAGCTTCAGGCGTGATTTCGGAACGACCAAAAGAAGCTGGTCCGATGATCTCAGGGCCCGAGACGGAACATATGGTTCCAGGAGCTCGGAGAGGTAGAGGGGTGCGAGGCCATTTAGGCACTTATATGTCAGGAGGAGAATCTTGAAGTCGATTCTGGATCGCACAGGAAGCCAGTGAAGGGAGGACAGAACAGGTGTGATGTGCTCAGACCTACGTGTACCAGTTAAAAGCCGAGCAGCTGCATTTTGGACGAGCTGGAGACGTGAAATGGATGCCTGACTGACCCCAGCATAAAGTGAGTTACAATAGTCCAGGCGGGTTGTGATGAAGGCATGGACTAATGTTTCAAGGTTGGGTCTGGATAACACTGGCTTGAGCTTAGCTACCTGCCGCAGTTGGAAAAAACTTTTCTGCAGAACTGAACTGATCTGTTTGTCAAACTTGAAATCCGAGTCAAAGACCACCCCGAGATTTCTAACAGTGTGCTTGAGATAGGGCTGAAGTGAGTCCAGGTTTGCAGGATCTGAGGAGGCAGCTGAGCTAGGACTAAAGACGATGACTTCAGTTTTCTGGTCGTTAAAACTGAGAAAATTTGAAGTCATCCATGCCTTAATGTCATCTAGACATTTGAGGAGAGGGTGGATGGAACGAGCACTGGCTGGTTTCAGTGGCAGGTAGATCTGGCAGTCATCGGCATAACAATGGAATGAGATGGCATGTTTTCTTAAGATGGATCCCAGTGGGAGCAGATAGAGCGAGAAGAGAAGGGGTCCAAGGATCGAGCCCTGTGGGACCCCGCAGGAAAGAGGGACCGAAGTGGACAGACTTTCACCAACCTTGACACAAAAAGTCCTGTCAGAGAGGTAAGAACGGAACCAGTCTAAAGCAGCTCCTGTAATCCCAACCCAGTGTTCGAGCCGTGAGATGAGGATACTGTGGTCGACGGTGTCAAAAGCAGCAGTAAGATCAAGGAGTACAAGTACCACATAGTGACCAGAATCGTTTGAAGTTAAAATGTCATTGCAAACCCTAACCAAAGCTGTTTCTGTGCTGTGGAGTTGCTTAAAACCAGACTGAAAGACCTCAAAGATTTTGTTCTCAGTTAAAAATTGATTCAACTGAGTAAAGACTATTTTTTCTAGGATTTTGGACAGGAAGGGAAGCTTTGAGATTGGTCTGTAATTTGAGTGCACTGAGGGGTCAAGTCCAGGTTTCTTGATTAAAGGAGTGACTACTGCATTTTTAAAGGCCTGTGGAACCACGCTTGTAGCAAAGCTACTGTTAAGAATATTAAGAACAGCGGGCCCAATCGCTGGTAGAACCTGTTTGAACAGTGAGGGAGAGATTGGATCAGCAGGGGAGCCTGAGGGTTTCATGTGACCAACAACTTTGTTTAACAATGGGAGTGTGATTGGATTGAAATTCCTGAAAGTGGCTGAACATGGGACAAAAACCGATGGGTCAACTGAGGAGCGGGGGATGGAAGATCTGATCAGCTCTACCTTACCAACAAAGAATCTTGTGAAGTCGTTACAGACGTCCACAGAGGCCTCCATGCATTCAGACAAAGGGCCATTAAGAATGGAATTTACTGCTGTGAAAAGGGTGCGGGGGTTGTTTTTATTTTCACTGATCAGTTGGGAGAAGTATTTGTTTTTTTCTGATTTGACGGTGTTTTGGTAATTTTTTAAACAGGTTTTTAGCAAAATGAAAGAAACCTGGAGTTGGTCCTTTTTCCATTTGCGCTCTGCTCTCCTGCACAGTCGTCTCGCTGCCCTGGTGGTCTCGTTTATCCACGGGTACTGGGTTCTCCTTGCTTTCCTGACTTTCAGTGGGGCCACCAGATCCAAGATCTTGGTGCAGGTCTCATTGTGGTGACTAAGCAGCTCATGAGTACTGACACAGGCAGAGGTTTCAGGAGTTGAAACAGCAGTGGTGATAAAAGCAGAGGAAAAACGAGCAGAGGTTGAAGGGTTGAATACACGACAGGTCCTAGGTGGAGTGGGGGATTTAGACTCACGAGCAAGAGAGATTTCAAATGAGATGGGTTTGTGATCGGATATGATAGCATCCCCAATTTCCAGATTTAACACAGATACACCATAAGACAAAACAATATCGAGAGTGTGCCCCTGCTGATGCGTGGGGCCAACAACATTTTGCACCAGGTTTAGAGAGTGGATCAGATTTAGAAAGTCCTGCACCAAAGGCTTCTCAGGGCAACAGACGTGTATATTGAAGTCCCCTAGAATCAGCACACGGTCGTATTTTAACAGTATTCCAGTGAGAAAGTCAGACAGTTCATTGATGAAGCCTGTTGATGATTTGGGGGGTCTATAAAGAGCAGCAACCAGGATGGGTTTGGAGCGGCCCAGTTCAAAATGCAGCAGCTCAAAGGTCTCAAAAGCTGCTGTCAGAAGCAGTCTGCATTTCCAAATTTTCTTAAAAAGAGCTAAAACTCCTCCACCTCTTCCAGATGGCCTCGGGCAGTTAAGAAAAGTACAGTCTGCAGGCACAAGTTCAGTAAAAACGCTTGACTCACCAGGAGGAAGCCAGGTCTCCGTCAGAAACAAGAAGTCCAGGTTATTGGAGCAGAAGAAGTCATTTATTATAAAAGTTTTGGTTGATAAAGATCTCACATTGAGGAGAGCAAACCTTGTTAGGCCAGCAGCTGGGGGAAAAGTTGAGGGGAGGACGCTGATCAGCGGCCTCAGGTTGTTTACGTCGGGCCTTCGCCTCCTCCGGCCAGAGGAAGCGCAGCTTCGCGCGCGTCCGCCGCGAAGTTTAGAAGACTGATCGGTGTTTTACAAAACTATTACATTCATTCAACCTTTATTTCTACAGGTAAATCCCACTGAGCCTCGAGGACTCATTTACAAGAGAGACCTGATTTCAACAAAGAAAGATGACAACAATGGACAACAGCAACAACAATAAACAGTTAAGTCATACTGCACGTTTTTTATTATTTATTTATTTTTATTTTTTTTACAAATAGGATGGCTAAAAGGAAAAGGTAACAAAAAAAAAACAGCTAGATTCTAAGGTGAATGTAGAAAACTAAAAACAGGAACATGTCTGCATTGGTCCCTGCCAGGAGTCCAACAGATTCTTAAAGACACTTAGAGAGGTCAAAGGTCGAGAGCTTCAGATCTTTTTACAAGAT